GATGACGGTCATTCCAATGAGTCGCCAACTTGCACTTTGGTTGAAGGGAGAGAGAAGCTGGATACCTCAGCGGTGGGTTGCAAGCAAGCAGCTGCTGAAGCTGTCAAAGTCGAGAAGTTTATGTCTGTTTCTGTAGCAAATGTCCCCACACCTGTTTGGAAGGAGAAAAGTGATGTGGGAACTAATGATTTATTAAGTTCGGGCGGAAAGAGTGCCAGTCTTAGCTTCTCAAGTGTGCCTGTGGCCAGCACAGCTGTCCAATCGGATGTACAATTTACTCAGACGACTTCAAATTTTGATAAAACTGGTTCAGAGAGGCAGCCAAATGCTGTTTCGCCTACCTTTGATTTTGTTGATAAAATGGCTTCATCCAATGAACAAAATGCTGTGCCTACCGCGTCTGGCTTTGGCCTCAATAATGGATCTATCATGGAAGCTAATAAGGTTCCCCAGTTTTCTTTCCCTTCTTCCTCTTCATTTGGTGGATCAACTCCAAAGTTTGGTATCCCATCTGATACAAAATCAGAGAGCTCAAGCAGGTCAGTGTACGTGTCATTTCCAGCGATAAGTTTCTTTTTGATTCTTTGACTGTCTAATCCATCAACTTTTATATGCTTGGTCTGTCAGTAGCTTCTGTTAATCCTTTAGAAAAAGTTTAGGGAAATAGTGTGGGCTTTCTGCAGATAGCTATTTAATATTGGCTCCTGTTGTGAACATGGACTTTCTTGAAATTTTAGGTTCCTTGCATTAAGCCATGGGAGTATGTATTTCTCTGCAGTTATGCATGGTCGATGTACTTGACCTGGCTGATGCCAAATGGAATCTGTAATAGAAAATGCTGGTGTCTTCATCAAGGATGCCTTTTATGGTTGTTGGTGTTCTCAACTGCTGTCGTTAATGGGTTTGCTTCTAGTATATGACATGATAGAAAGTTTAGGGATTTGAAGAAGTATAGGCATTTTTCCTCCTCCAGTTTACTGGCTGGTTACAGTGGCTAATGCTTGAGGCCTGAAAGTGAGTCAGTTGTTTTGTGCGAGGTTTGGTTATTTCTTGATCTTCTCTGTAAATATCGAGCAAGGTGATTGTGGTTGACAGCATGCTGCATGGTTTTCCGTTTCTTCAGCACTTCATGATTCGATTTTTCGCTTCTTATTGGATACACTTTAGTTTTCTGCCTTTTCTCCACTCAATGTTCATTTTGTGAAATTTCATCATATATGATTTTTTGATATTTCAAGGGTGAATATGATGGATTTTGTTTAAGATTGTGCAACATGTGTTCCTAAGAGGATAAGTAGAACGATTACAGTTTGTTCAATTTGCTGCCTGCAGATTTTTTAGTGTTGCTGCTGGCCCAACTGTTACTGCCAATGTTCCTGAATTTGATAAAACTGATAAGGAGGAGGATGGAGTGGTATCTGCTACACCTGAGCCTACTCCTCTGGGATCTGGGGCAACATCGTCAGCCACAACTGCATCCTTATTCGGTGTTCCTCCTAAGTCTATTACGTCTAGCCAGTTAGTGTCCCCACCTATATCGGCGGAGTTAAATGCCACTGTAACTCAAAAACCATCCAGCGGCCTTTCTTTCACTTCTGCTACTAGTAATGGTGCCGGTATTGCCGTCCAAACGTCAACCAGTGCTACCACTGCTAGTCTATCTATGTCAACATCAGCACCCTCCTTTCCGGCTTCTTCAACCTTCAAATTCGAGTCCTCTGTGTCAACTTCAGTTGCGCAATCGGTGCCTACTCCATCTGTTGTTCTGGGAGAAGCCAAGACCAAGGTGGACACTGACTCTGGAAATGTCACCAGCAATCTTTTTCCGTGTCCATCTTCTGCAAATGCCACCACAGGAAGCGGCATCTTCGGGTTTAGTGCACCAGCTTCCACATCAATTTCTGAGACAAAAAAACAGGGTTCTTCATTATTTGATGCTGCCAATGGTTCTCCACAACTTCCAGCATCTGCTGGGACTGCAGTACCAGCCTTGACTCAGAGTGCCTCGGTTCAATCTGGATCATCTGCGGCTTCATTTGGATTGTCTGGGAATACTGGAAGCTCTTTGTTTGGTTCATCTTCTGCACCGAAACTGTTCTCTGGGGCGTCATTTGGCATGAGTTCTGCTTCCTCTTCAGCGGCGAATTCTGTCAGTTCAGGTAGCAGCACTACTTCAAACGCGATTGGTTCTTGGCAGTCATCGGCATCTCCCGTATTTGGTACCTCATCAGCTTCTCAATCGACCGGTTTTCCTTTTAGTGTGCCAGTGGCTTCTAGCAGTCACATATTTGGATCATCAGGTTCCACATCTGCTTCAAGCAGTACTCCTGTTTTTGGAGCAACCAGCGTGACTGCTACTTCTAATGGTGCCCCAATTTTCGGGACAAGCGGCAATTTGTCTGCTTCCACTGGGGCTCCTATTTTCGGATCAACCAACACCTCATCTATTTCCCCTCTATTTGGATCAACCAGCGCCACTCCTATTTTTGGATCAACTGGCGCTTCATCTGCTTCAACTTTCTCGTTCACTTCTGCTGCTTCTAGCGCTTCTTCAGTGCCTGTTTTTGGGAATTCTAATCCTGCGTTCACCTTTGGTTTGGTACCCTCAGGCAATAATGATCAGATGAATGCGGAGGATAGCATGGCTGAGGACACAGTTGTGACAACTACTCCCTCAGTTCCTGTGTTTGGCCAGCAACCGATCTCACCACAACCTTCGACTGGGTTCATGTTCAATCCACCGGCTTCGACGGTGTCTAACCCTTTCCAATTTGGAAGTCAACAGAACCTGGCCACCCCGCCGAATCCTTCCCCATTTCAGGCTTCTGGCAGTTTAGATCTAGGCGGAGGGAGCTTCTCACTTGGAACCGGTGGTGACAAGTCCGGTCGTAAAATCATAAAAGTTAAGCACAACAAGCAAAGGAGAAAATAGAATAAATTTTGCTTCGGCGCAGCTGGTGGATTGATGTTCGGGACCTTGGTTATTTGTGATCGGTTGGCAATGTCTGGAGATAATAATTTGGTTGGAGGAACTAGGTATTCCTTGTGATAAGGTAACTCTTGGTCGCAGCGATGGTCAACGAAGCCTCACCAGGTTTCGCCCCTGTTCTCTATTATTTTCCTCTCAAAGTTTCGCTTTATTTCTTTTCTTTTCTTTATCCTCTTTTTCCGCGACGTAAGTTGTCACAATTTTGTATCCGACATTGTAGCGAATTTGTGGACCTCTTCCTGTACTAGTATGTGTACTAGCCTCATGGTTGTCGCAGGTGGAGATTGTCTGCCCCTGTGTCCCTCTTCTACTGTGCACTCCTGATATGTGTAACATAAAGGAAATCATATTTGTCAGCTTAAGAAAGCCGCCGGTTAGGTGGTTCGCCGCTGCTCTTTTTTGGCATATTATGATAGGTAATGATGGAATGCAATTGGTAGTGTGATTTTGTTTTTCGATCGAATGGTTTGAATCCTGTTCGTGGGTCTGTCTTAGATTTGGCACACTGACCTGATCTTGCACAAGAAACAAGTAAAAGAGGTAGGCAATTCCTTATTTGGATGATTTATGCTGTTTATAACTGTCGGATGTGTATTCCCATCCCTCTGCAGCGAAGCTTTGTTTTGCAATGCTCTCAGAAACGGTGGGGGAAAAGGCATTATTCCTAACTTTCGAATGATGATTCACTCTCGAAATGCGGGAAACACATGCTTAGCCGGTCTCAGCAATCGAGAAGTCTGAGACTCTCCTGATTACAAGAGCATGTCCTGCTGCCCTGTGACGTCTTGAAATTTCTTCATTTTCCAATATCATTTAGGATTTTAAGATGGTAAATAGTAAGCATGAATTACTTGATAACTTAACTAAATTATGACTGTTGTCGGGTGGCAAATGAGAGGGTAGGGTTTGGTTTGGGTGGGTCGTGAATGGGACCGATTTAAATTCACTCATGTAACTCGTACTGATCAATTTAATTCCTAAACAATGTAAATGACCCATACCTAATGCAACTCTTATCCAATCCAAACCCATCCAAATAGAGAAAAAAGGCCCAACAGATCTGAAAAATTAAACTGCTAAAAACATTGAAGAATTTTGAACGCATCCCAGAGAAAAAGAAATTTCATCTGGACTTGGAAAAGCCATACAAGGGTCAAGGATATCAGTGTTTGTTTTCTCGAGGAACTATGCTCAGTCAATATGGTGTCTCGAGGAGCTCGTGAAGATAATGGAGTGCAGGCAGGAGCTGGGGCAGTTGGTTCTTCCCGTGTTCTATGACATCAATCCTTCGGTTGTGCGGAAACAGACAGCGGTTTTGCAAAGGCATTTGCTAATCACGAAGGACAATTTGCTCGGTGGAAGACGGCTCTCACACAAGTGGGAAATTTATTAGGCTGGTGTCACGGGTCGGTCGATTCACAACAATTCCACACCTGTGCGGCCTTAAGATCACTCCCAAATCAGCCTTACACACACACACTCGATTTACAAGAATAGAGAGAAAGCAGTGTAGTAGTATTTCCTTGCGAATGAGCATGTACAAATGAAGGGGAGGGTCCCTATATATACAAGTGCGGGCCTAATATGAGCCGTTGATCCCCTCATGATCCGACGGTAGTGTTTGAACCGATACAATCATTACATAGCTATACAAAAAGTTCTAGGGGCCCTAGGGGCGTGAGAGAGCTCAAGGGACGTCTGCCAAGGGAAACTGCAGAGTCGTTTGTTAGAGGGAATTGAAGAGTCGGACGGTGCTTGAGCTTGGTCACGGATGGGCCACGTCCCATGCCCGAATGGGCCATGTCCCATGCATGGAAGGGTTACGTCCCATGCATGGAAGGGCAATGGCTCGTCCGTGGCTCTTGTTTGAATTGGCTCGGAGCCCTTCGCTCCCTCGGGCCGTGTCACTGGGATCTCAGAAATGTTGCAGATGGGTAAATTCTATTTGACCTTTGTAAATTGGGGTTCAAGAATATTATATCCTAGTCTATCAGCCATCTAAGAATTCGACTACAGTTTAATATTAGAATTGATTCTTATATGACGTCAAGAAAGTACAATCCAAATATATTTTTGTAATCATCAACTAATGTGATTTTGACAATACTTTCAAAGGCATAATGTTGAACTTGGGACTACAGCAGTCCTTGATTTGGTCGCTTCGATATCTTCAGACCAAGATAAAAGAAAGCACAGTACATGAAATCTAGATTATCAGGAGAGCGGGGTTCTGAGATTCCTAACTGAGCAGTTGGCTCGGATTTCTCCTTCCGTTCCCGTCAATACGTCGAGTTGCCCCATCTTCGTCATAGCGAAGACAAACTTCTCGAAGAAAAGTTCTTGGTCCTCGGCGAAGCTACTGAGGATGCCCCTCGTCATGGGGTCCTCGTACAGATCTTGGTCCGAGTGGAATAGGCCTTGGCGGTTCACCAAATCCACGAAGTATCTGTTGTCGAATTGGTCGGGCGATCTGATGTCCAAGACCGTGGTGTTGGTGGAGTTTGAGGTGGGGCACACGCCCTTGAGATCATGGGCAAAGGTCTTCTCCATGGTGGGGTCTTGGGTCGGGTAGAGCCGGCGAGTAAAGGCGCCGCAGTGCCCAAGCCCGGTGGTGTCGCCTCCAGAGAGTGCCACTACATCGGTGGCGTCAAAGTTTTTCTTGGCTAGGGCAGTGAGAATTTGGCTGGCGTTCTGAGCTGGTGGAGGTAAATTTTCTGCGGTCACATTTACAGAAGCAAATGTGAGTCCGTCCCGCCTTCCCAATGGCACGTCATACTGAGGTCCGCCCGACTGCACACGACAATGAGAATAACAAGATTAGAATCCAGAACTTGGAAAACATCTGTTGATGCTCATTGATATGGTAGACAAATTAATCATGTAATCAAGAAAACTTTGACAACCAATAGGACAGGAAGCTAGTTGGGATTAGATGATCATTAAAAAAATTGGGTCCTATCTCCATTTATCAACTTGAAAGAACATAAGAAATATTACAATTATCCAAAAGTATGAGCACGAGGATGCTTAAAATGGTTTGTATCTGGAAAGCATGAAAATCAAAACTCCGTTTTGGTGCGTTACTCTCTAGTGATGATGTCCGTCTCAAGTTCTGGTTCGGTGGGGCGTCCTTCTTGCTCGGTTCGCTTGCTGATCCATCCAGCAACACCGAAGCATCGCATCCCTGCATCATTCATCAGATCTAAAATATAAGTGTGAATTCAAATAACAGGAAAATATTAACCGAAATACTCTAGCATACTCGGAGACAAGAAAGAACAAGTGTTGTTATTATCACCTCAGCCGACATATTTTAGTAACCTCTCTAGTTTTTCTTTAGGCTACAACTACTTTATGGGCCTTACGTTAGTTTTTGCTTCATCATTTCTTTGAATGTAGGTGATCACGATTCAATTGAAAAGAAAAACCGTGATGATTTGGACCCATCTTAACCTCCAAAGTGAAAATATCCCCACCACACAATCCGGGATTAACTAGACTGCCCGTGCAATCATCTTAAGAAGACAATTTATCCGAAATTATTAATGCAGTTCTTTCTAAATCCTGAACATGGGAGTTCTATAAACTTCTATAATCTTCATTTTATACCATATAGAGCACTAAAGATCAGGGCCCAACTATCTCAAACGCTCAAAAAGCATCCTCCAAAACTTCAACAAGTGTTTACCGTTGGACTTGACGAGGTCCAACCCATTTACGTGGCTTATCAGGTCTATTATTTAACATTTGGCACAAGCTCAATTTAATTAAATATATTAGGGGCCATATATTTGTGACATCCAATTATGCATATCTTAAACCTTCATGGACGATTGAGATTTGGTAGCGCTAGGGTTGATCCCATCACTCCCTCTATATAGGTCTCTTTTTGGTGGAGAATGAATGCATCTAATTATCATGTCTTCGCTATTCTCCACAAAATTGTTGAGAGAAAAATACACACCCATCACAATTGTTATAGAGGAGAGTGGTGAAGATTAATACCCATATAGACAGCTTCTTTGCTTCTATCTTATTGGATCAATAATGGCTTCTTTTGATTCGAGTATGCTATATTTATCAATTTAATCTCATGGTCATGTGATTGAAAACTTCTATTAATCTAACATTTACCAGTAAAACAGTAATATTTGTATGATGAAAGACGAAGCCATGATGGCTTTAGTCACCCATATGACTTCGTAATCTACCCAACGTTCTGAAAAATAGCAATGTCAATAAAAAGAAGTCCACTTATTGAAGCTGCTAACCTAGGCCACCAGCTTCGAGAAGAATATACATATTTTTTGGCCTCTCTTTTCTTATTCTCATCTATTTAGCCGAGGAAGAAGATGATCACAGAACTTGCCAAAAAGGGTGTGTAAACATTTAATCATCAGCTTACACACCACAGACATGGACATGTGATGAGAAAATTAAGATACAACTTCCAAGAAAATCCCAAGTCTCTTTGCCTGGAAAAGTGAATGCAGATTGTGATAGAGCTCATTGGAAACCTACCTTAATGAAGAAGTCGTGGAAGTGCAGACGAAGTAGCCCAGGAACTTGGCCAATATCCTCCTCGAACACCTTCTTGAGATGTTTCCTTATGACGGACTCAACCTTCGGGCAGCTCTTCTCGTAGAAGGACCATGAGAGCCCCTTCACTATGTAAATAGAGCTCGAAACATGAACATGCAATGAAGCTATCACAAGACAAGAAAACAAAACGAAAGAACTGAAACAGGAAGCCATGATGTGATCTGAGGTCTGGTTTAAGGTTTCTTGTGCAAGATGAGCTGAATGGATCATGGGACATTATTTATAGGCAGGTAAATTGACTTCATGCAGAACTGAGCAAGGGTCTTTAGTCATGGATAATAGTAAAGGGCAATTTCGCAAACTCGTTTATTGTGATTTAACATTTTATCAGACTTCTTTTGATTTGAGATACGATTCACACTTAGGAGAAAATGCGCTTACAATCAAAAGCATGCGAAGTTAAGTAAGAAATCTACCTCAAACATTGTCGGCTGAAATTTCAATGTACGCCAATTGAGTAGGTGGTTTGTTTTGGCCTAAACTAATATAAGTCACGCCATTAATTGTGTTTGAAATTAGGCTATGTTTACAAGTATGGACATTGTCCAGCTGCAAACTCAACTGAAAATCAATATAGGTGATGTGGGAATTTATAACTGTTGGAAAATCTCCTATAATCTGTCCCTAATTATTTGGAATATTATGTGATATTATGTGATTTGATTTCGTTAGCTGTAAATTAGCTACTGATAGAGATTATGGGCTAATTAGGATCTATACCTAAAATAGGTTTCTTACCTAATTTAGGTCTACTATTCCTGTATATATATACATCTTGTAATTACTCAATCAGAATAAGAAAAACAGATTCTTTTCTTCATGGTATCAGAGCCTAGTTTTCTAATCTAAATTTCCTGCCTCTGTTTCTTTTCCCACTACTGCTGCTTCATTGCAGCCCTTTTTTTAGCCTTATTGCTGCTGCTTTGTTTCAGCCTTATTGCTGACTTAACCAGCCTTATTGTTGGCCTTCAATTGTGTGATAACTACCCTTGTTACTCGATCCCTTCTTAGTCTCCTGCTATAATTTGTCCTTTCAAGTTGCCGAATGGAAGATTCAGGGAAGGCTATCTCCAACCAAACCGGGTCCTCTCTTTAGGATCTATCCAACTCATAGATTGGAGATTTTTCCAACATAAAGCAATACTGATTGGATGGAAAAAATTATCTTTAGTGGGCATAGATCGTGAGGACGTTTCTTAAAGGAAAAAGGGAAGCTCAGTCATCTAGAAGGCATTGGTCTAGGACAAGGTGATCCCAAGTTTCAGACATGGGATGAAGAAGATTCCTCAATTATGTCATGGTTGTGGAGCTCAATGTAACCCAAAATAGGGGTGAGCGGTTCCAGGTTCCGGGTAGGTTCCGCCTGGAACTTGGAACCTACCCTCGGGTACAGGTTCCTTATTTTTTGGAACCTGGAACCTACCCGTCGAAACGTGGAACCTGGAACCTACCCTGTCACAGGTTCCAGGGTCGGTTCCAGGTTCTAACAGGTTCTTTTTACCGGACCATAACAAGGATAGAGCAGAAAATTAAATTTTGGCCTTCCACTGGACCATAGTAAGTGATTATTTACGCAAGCATAAGAAGCGAAAAAGATCAAATCAGCTAATAAAAATTTGTCATCTGAATCTCAATCATTCAAAGAACCACATGATCGGAGAACCAGCTCCAGAGACCCAGTAAAACCACAAAAGACATAGAAATTGTTTCCACAACTTCAGCCTCATTTGTATTCCAATGCTTAGCGATATTCTCAGATAGCGGATCATTGGGGTTTGGAGCGCTCAAAAAAAGCTTGAATGCTGCAGAACAGTACATCAGAAAACACTTCCATCAGCTACCAAGCTGATTAAAAGAAAAATCACATTAAGAATCAGATGGATATTCCAGCCAAAAAAAGAAAAAAAAAAGTTGTAATAGTACCTTTTCAATATTGGGATGGTATATTTTTGTGAAAAACCTAACCTGTGGCACAAGTAATGATTAGAAGCTAAACCCCACAAGTCACCACTATTTTTGGATAAAGCAGTTGAAAACCTCAGGACAAATAAAAACTTCAAAGTACTTAAGTGAAGACCCAGGAGTCAGCAACGCTGGCAATGTCCAGCTTCATCTGAGAGTTATCTAAGCAACCATATGCATATGTTCGCACAACCAATCAAATCAATAAGAATAGCTAACAGATGAACCGTAAAAAGAGTTACTTGGACAAGCAACATGCAGACTGGAGGGAGCCACTCAGCAGTCAGAATGAAGCGAAATCCAATATGACCTACAGCAGTAAGCCAATCAATTTTTTTGCCTGCCACCTAAGGCAAATCCTACTCCACTTTAAACATGGTTCACTGCGGACAACTAAAGCTGCCCAAAAATCAACAACCCCTTGGAACCATCTAAGGAAGACCAAAACGATTCATAAAAATTGACTGTGATTGCTAAACTTTCTAGATAGCAGAAGTGAGCAAAGAGTCGAGACACAGTTCTGACAGAAATGCAAAGGCTCTAGAAACAAGAGGAAAGCCATTACCCCACCATGAACCCGAGAAAAAAAGAAAAAGAGAGTTTGAAACAATTACAAAGGGAAAGATGAATCAATGTCCTATTCATCTATTTTTTTTAGGTAAGCAAGTTACTGTCTTTAAACTAGCATGTAACTTTCATTGTCAACACCAAGGCATAAATTGATTATGTAGCTTTCACAACCCATTTACAGAGCACTTGCAATCTAGCACCTCTACTTGATTGAGATTCTGTGCTGGAAAGAACCAAGCAGCAGATACCATGACGATAGAAGTTACTATATATTGAAAGAAAAAACCGTGCTCAAGTGAAAATTACCTAAGGAGCAGCCATAGGATATTCTTCAGGCAAAAACAACTCTAGTTTGAAAACTCCTCCTGCAAAAAAGATTGCAAAAAGACAAGCAAACAAGTTAACTAAGAAATTAGTTATGACAGATTAAATTTTTTAGGAACCGCCGGTTTGAGTGCAAGTTAACTAAGTTAGATTCTCCATCAAATTTCTATTTAAAATTTTCACCAATACTTGCAGAAAACACAATTTAGAAAGAGCTTTCCAGCACCTGCTTCATATTTTCCATTTTTAGTTCATTAATCACGGCTATATATTCGCTTTTACATAAATGGCTACCATGAAGATAGACATGCGCAATAAATTTAAGGGGAACAGAAGAGGTAACTCACAATGAATGGAATGAATGCTATCCAGAAGTATGTATGCCAGCCTACACAAAGAAAAGTAAAAAGCAGAGGTCACGAGATAACAATCACAACATCCGGCCACACTCAAATACAGAAACTGCGCAAAAGGCACTGGTGAGAAAATAATGTGCATTTACAATAATAAATTGGACCCAACAAGTCTATGGTTTTCAACATGGCACTTTTATACACTCAAAGCAGATGAACCTCAAAAGTGAATCTGATATAGCATCCTTAACCGCTGCAGCTACGACTTTACATGTCCTTTCATCTTTATACAGTTTTCCTTTACCAACAGATTATAGCCTGTAGAGGAGTTGCATGGAAAAAAAGACAGCTCTTCATATGTATCTAAAGAGTATAGATGAATTACACTTTGATCTAATGGGTGACTTCACTCCTCAAATCAAAAGCTCGTACTAATGACTAAGGCAACAACCTGCTTTTTCTATGGTTCATCAAAAGATACTTCCTATGGGACAATACAGATATACTTTAAAAAGAAAAGATCAAAAGCATGACATAAGGCAAAGTGCTAGAAGGAAGAGATTCTAATCAATAAATTGCCCTTCCATTCTAATCAACAAATTGCACCCCAGTATTGTGCTGGCTCAAACTCAACTTGGTCCATATACAAGTTCGATTTGGTGTGATTTTCAATACACGCTTCCAGAAATGTAGTTTCCTGGTATATTTTTTCAAGTTGTCACATCCTAATATGGAGGAGCAACATACTGAGATGTTTTGTCCTCAGCATATAGGGCATTTGGTCCATGGTATGAAAAAAATGTCAACCAAAACAGTTAAAAGTTGAAGCTCATAAATGTAGACAAGCCAATGAGCTTGATTATCAGCATTTGTGGAACTGTCTTAGCAAGGCTTTTGGGACAAAATCTTACTAGGTTGGACAGCTTCAAATAAACTCTGTGAGAGAAAGGCATAGTAGTTTGCCAGTTATGGTGATCAAGCTTATGCCTAAAAGGATTAAAGCAACATCCAATGTACTACATATACACAACTTCTAGCACGTCATAACACAGAAACAAGTTTCCTTTCAACAGACTTCTGGACATTGCTATTGTTCGACAAGTATTATTAAGACAATCATCTCCTATAGAGAGGAATGCACCTGAATAGAGATAAGAGAGGAGTCTCCTCATCCAACCACAAGGCAAACAGAAAGGCCAGCGTGATCCAACTTCACCCCCACCTCTAATGAGAAAAGGAGACGGTGGAGCACACAGGAGTCCCAATATTGTAAAACAAAGAGACCCATGCAAACTCTGAAATGCTAATGATTTTCAGGAGAGAGAGAGAGAGAGAGAGAGAGAGAGAGAGAGAGAGAGAGAGAGAGATGAGGTGAATGATAACAGAACAAATCATTTTGAGAACCAAACCATTAACCAATTAGCTAATTCGATCTTTTCATTAAGCTATCTAATCTGATGACAAAATTAATTGCCACTATAAACTTCTGCAAAGAGCTAACGATAGGATCTAGCGCGTAGTTCCTGTAAATGTACTATAAACATCGAGATAAAAACTGTAACTTACATTAACTAAATTAGCCAATCTCAACATACCTTGATCACACGGACCTGCAAAGGCAAAACAGAACATTAAAATCGACGTCAGACACAATATCATGTTTAAACAACCAAGAAATTCCGCCATTGCCACCACAGCACAATAGAAGCAATGTTGTCTACACATACATATCATTCAAATTTCAAGTAGTAAAAAGAAATACCATCTTGCAGCCAAATGAACACTAAGATGATACCTTTGTCCTCACGGAAAGCGGATTCGCAACAACGAATTTGAAAAACTGAGGAAGATATTTTCTTTCTCCATCACCGTCAGAATACAATGCTGTGCAAACCAGGCTGAAGAAGAAGATCAGTAAAAAAGATAAGATGCGCAAGTTCAAATCACAG